CTCCCCCTGCCACATCCCTCTAGGTCTGGAGGGGAGGCTTTGCTGGGGGTTGGAGCGTCCAAGACGGCGTTAGCGAGGAAGGCAAAATCATTGTGTGTACAAAGGTTTTGGTCACAGTGTGCCCCCCTTGGGGGGGGGAACCTACTTGACTTACATGCATATTTTTAGCGGTGAATGCTTCTCTCTACTGCACTCGCTGGTCAAAGCGATTCGGATCCGAGGCGGGAAGAATGGCGGAGTTCAAACTCCGCTGTTAAAATTCACACACCGTCCAGGATGGGAAAAGGGGGGCGAGCCCGAAGTGGCTCGAGACGGGAGGGGAACCTAGACGACTACAGAGTGACACAATGAGGTGATGAGACCGACTTCCCAAATCCGCTAAGTCATTAATTAATTAGGAATGTGCACGCACCCCCATGACTTACATGCATATTGTTTGCGGTGAGTATTTCTCTCTATTGCACTCGCTGGTCAAAGCGACTCGGATCCGATATGGGAAGAATGGGCGGAGTTCGAACTCCGCTGTTAAACTTCACGCACCGTCCCGAATCAGAAAACCCAAAACAGGTTCTGTTCTCACACTGATAGATGTTGAGGCCGAGGGACAGCCAGCAGCGCAAAAGCAAGGACCCTCTGGAACCTCTTCGGGATCAGCTGGGTAGGGCGGGGCGAAAAAAGGTGAGGCTGGTGGTTGTCACGGAAACGCTTGCCCGGGCAAAGGAGACCAAAGCGGGAACAGTCGTCAGACTGGATATTAAAAGTGTGCGAGGTAACTGGGAATCTACCTCGGCCGCCAGATCTGCACATGTGCGAAACGTGACAAAGGTCATCATACGTGTCTTTCAAAGCGGCCTGGAAATCTGAGTTCAGATAGGCCCGACCTGGAACAATTACAGGGAGGCTCAACTGCAATGCCAATGAGGTCACTGGACGAGCACGCGACAGCATGCCTGGATCAATTGCTGAGAGAAACAGAACGGCGATGCGGGACTCCTGGAGATCACGACGAAGTCCGAGAATCGATCCCAGCGCCAGCCCGCACTCGGGCAAGTATCTCACCAGGAAACCCTGCCGCGTCACATGGTGAGGCTTCATGAAAGCGTCGCCGATCACAAGCACGAACAGGCGCCGCTCCATCAACGGGCAGCGGAAGCGGGCCTTGGCACCGTGAGCCCGAGAAGCAAGATCTCCACGAACCTCTCCTCGCACCGCTCGGCGTGGCTCTGCAACCAGCGAGGGCGTCGGGGCCACGTGCTGGCTAGACGGGCGCCCTTCTCGTACCTCACCACGGTCCGATCGACTTTCCAGCCGCCTCGCTTCTTGACCTCGGCCAAGGTGCGCTTGCGGGGCGACATGTCCGCGCTGGAGCCGCTGTGCCGAGATTGGTGCACCACCGGGTCGGAACCGAGGTCCTTCGCCACTTTGGCCACCGTCGCCGCCAGCCGCGGGCAGGTGAAAGACCGCGCCCGCCGCCCCGCGCGCAAACTTTTCAGCGCCATGAGCATCGGAGGAAGGCGGGGCCACCAGTCGTGGTCGAGCTCGATCGTCACGTCGAACTCCTTAGCCTTGGACGGGGCGCCCTCGGGCTCGGGGTTGAGCTGATGCGTCCAGAAGGTCGCCGCCCGCGACGGCGGGCACAAGTGCTCGGGCTGCAGGACCATCAGCTGGATGGGCCTGGCGTGGGTGCCACGTCAGGCAGATGAACAACGCCATGTCGAAGCGGCCCAACATCGCCAGGCCGTTCGCGAGAGCACACTACATGGGCCACGCCTCGGGCAAGCGAGATGTAGACGGGCAAAGGTCCTGCCAACCCTTGAGCGCTCGCCAACTGCGTGAAAGAGTGCGAGGTCCGTTTCTGTCAACCTTCGGCTGGCCATGAGCAACCCCCGCGATCAGCTTCATCCCACGAGCCGCCGACACGCCCTGACGGATCTGGCGGTCCATATAGCTCACCAGCAGGTCGTCCAGGTCCGTGACTGGGGTGTCGAGCAGCTTCTCGGCGTCGGCGAACCTTCTGAAGGCCGCCACCTCCTGAGCGTACTGGGCCTCCGTCCTCGGTCTCGCGGCGGCGCGCCCCCCCCCGCGGTGAGGTGGGCAAAGTCTGGCAGCGCCCTGGCCTCGAGCAAGGCCTCGAGGGTCTTCTTGGCCCGCGGCGGAGGGGTCCGAGTACGAGCGATCGTTCGGGAGGTCGGCGCGGCCTCGGGCTCGCCCTAGGAGCTCGAGGGGCCCTCTGGCTCTGGCCCCCGCTGACGGCGGCGGCGCAACTCCGACAGCAGCTGCGCCACCTCGTCGCCCGAGATCTCCCAGGGCCCAGCCGCCGTCTTCAGCGCCCTGGCCCCAGCCTCGCCGCTCGGGCACAGAGCACGGGAAGTGCGCGGCCGAGAGGCGGACGGGTCGCCCGTCGACGGGGCCCGTCGCTTCCTCACAGGTCCCGCTGAGGCGACATCGCCGAACGGCTGAGAGGGAGCCAGGGTGCGGGCGCGTCTGGCAGAGGTCGCTTTTGGCTGAATCATGGATGCGAAAATGGGCTGAAACGGCTACGGAAGGACAGCCAACACGAGAGCCATCACCAGGCTCTGGTCCGCGACCGTCGCCTTCACGGGGCTCCACCCGACAGGGGCTCGCTACAACAAGCGGAAAACCTTCATGGGGGGCGCGCCCAATGGGATCGGGGCGGTCTTTATCATCAACCTCGCTTGACAAAGAGCGAGGGCCAGGCTGGAAGAGACGAGACGGGACATCGGCAGGGTTCTTCTCGGACGGGACCCACCGAACAGAGAGGTGCACGTTTCGGCTCAGACACCAGGCAGCCATCCTCCTCAGGATGACGAGCACTTTGAAGTTACGACACCTCCACCTGCCCACTGAGAGCACGAGGCCGAGATTATCTGCAAAACGCACCTGTCGAATGTTGCGGCCACAGCGCGTGCGGGTGACGCGCTCGAGCCCACGGAGCAGCGCCCGCGCCTCAAGCACCCGGATGTCCTCTTCTCCTGAGAACGGCCAACCGCCAACGGTCTTCCAATAACCGCTATCCAGCAAGGGCGCGGGCACCTACTCGAAAGTGGGTTCGGCCGTCAGGCCGCTCCCCCCGCAAGCGCCCAGCAGGTCGTCGGGCTCGGCAGGCACGGAGGGCGCGGCCTGGGGGCATCCCAGGGCAGCGGCACGAGCAGCGACGTGGTCGGGGTCGAGGTAGCGGTCACGCTCCCGCACGCGGCCCACAGCTGCCACGTCGTCGACGCTGCTCCAGAGGCCGCAAAGCCCGCAGCCCCACCCGGAGGCATCCGACGCCACAATCAGGGGGGCCCAGTTCGACTCCCAGTCGGACACGAGGAGGACCATGGGCCCAGCAAAGTTGCGGAGCTCGTCCGCGGCCGACGGTCAGAGAGCGACGGCGTGGTCGTAGTGAGCCCTGACGAACGGGTAGACGGTGGTGAACACGGACAGCGTCTCACGCCGAAACAGTCCGCAGAAAGTGGCATGGCCCAAGATGGCCTCCACCTGCCGTCCCGACACGCGCCGCTTGCGGGTCAGGGCCAGGATGGCCCCGCTCACCCTCCAGAAGCGCTCGGGGGTGAGGCGCGTGCGTCGCCTGCGGCCGTCGAGCAGCACGCCCAGCGCCTCGACCCCCTCGTCGGAGGTGGGCGCCTCGTGCACCGCCAAGCCGCGGGACTCGAAGGCCGAGACGACGTCGTCGAGCTTCGAGGCCACCACGCGGCCGTCAGCGCCAGACACCCCGATGTTGTTAACGTGGATGTAGTGGCGCGTGGCGGCGGCGGCCTCACCCCGCAGCGAGAGGACGAGGGGCTGCCCGCGGTCGCGCAGCAGCTCGCGCGGGGTAGCACTCGGCTCGCGGGGTCCTCGTTTATGTACTGGGCGAAGAAGAGGCCCCAGGCAAAATTCATCGGAAGGCATCGCGGCATCGGCATCGCCCAGTCGCCTGGCGCCAGAGGCCCGTCCTCGCAAGGGGCGAGCCCGACGTCCCGAGCTCGCGCGCGAGGGGGGCCAAACCAACGGGAGAGCCACAAGGGGATGCCCATCCTGTGGAAGGCGTCCTGCACGTCAGCCGTGCCGCAGCAAACCGATGAAAACCCCTGATCGTCGGGAAGCTCGACTTCCATACGGCCCAAGCCCTCGGCCGCCAAGAGTTCGACGCGAGGCGGCGGCGCGACCAACCGATTGGTCCGCCTCGCGTCGAGGACGCGTCGAAGCTTCCCATTCTTCTTTCTCACAAAAAGAAACGTGTCCGCTCGTGGGCCCACGTGCCAAAGACCAGCATGTTCCTGGCCTTCAGGTCGCGCGCGAAGCGGGCGTAGAGCTTCGGGTTGCTGGCGAGCTGGGGATCGACATAGCATCGGGGCATCGTCGGTAACTGCGTCACTAGCAGTGGGATCGAGCATGCGCTCTCCTGCACCCTCCAAGTATCCACGGCCACGACCCCCCACCAAGTCGAAGACGGACGGCACCACGCCCTGCAACGCAGGCAGGGAGACCCGACCTCGCTGGCACGGCGCGAGCGTAGTCATCGAGGCGCCCATCCTGTAGCCAGACGCCAGCTCCCGCAGGGCCACTTCTGGCGGCAAATAATACGCAAGGCCCCCGTCGCGCATCTAAAGCTCTGCCAGCTGCTCCACGTAGGCCAGGACCTCGTCACGCTCGCGAGTCGCCTGGCCAAAAAGCTCCGGAACACGCCGAAGCCGCCCGCGGACATCAGGCAGTCGGTGGCCATCAGTCTTAGCTAGCCAAATAAGTGCATTAGACGCGCCCTCGACGAGCTGCCACACATGATCTCGCTTGCGGTATCTCTTCGAGCGACGCCCTCCCGAAATCGACGCAGGCTCCAGCAGCGGCAGCGCGATCGGGAACCGGTCAAAAAGCTCGGGGCGGCCGTTCGCCCGAAAATCCCCCACTCCCAGCGGGCCGCGGCATGGGGGGCCAATCCGCGACCCGTCGTCTAGGTCACCCGCCATCGGGGGCGGCCGACTCGCCTCTGCCGCGGCCCCCCCGTCCTGCCCCTGCACCGCGGCCTCGGCCGCCGTCGCCACGGCCCGCAGCGCCTGCTGAGGCGGCGCTGGGGTCGGCGCCGTCCGCGGGCCGCGGATGGCGCGAACGAGCCTGCTCCATCTCGTTATGGTCCTTCACCTTGGCGAGGCCCCACTTGCGCAGGGCGGGGGCGATGGCGCCCATTGAGCTGGCCTCGCCCTCGTAGACGCCAGTCATCTTCCAACTCGGCACGCCCGTGCCCGACGAGAAGGCGTCGACCACCCCGAGCATGCGCCTCGTCAGCTTCTCGATGCCCGCGGACGCCCCCAAGTTGAACTGACCATACTCCCCGAACAGCTTGAAACTCTCCGTGAGGTCCGTCATATCATGGTAAGCCCTGTCCGTCTTGCTGATGCCATGGTCTCGAGCGAAACCCTGCCACCACCGCCGAGGGTCGCCACCGTAGCGCTCGAGGAACCGAGCGAGGTGGAGGGTGCCAGGCGGGCCCTGCACCTCCACGGCCGTGATGGGCTCCTCGCGGCTCTCCTGCACAGCCTTCTCGAAGATTTGAACCGATTCCCTGCCTCGTCGTAGCCGACCCACAACGTCCTGATGTCATCATCGAGGTCGACGCGAGGGGTCTCGGCACCGCCGGCAGCCTGAGCACCGACGGGCGCTTCGGCCGACTGGCATCGAGACCTCGAGCGGGCGGCGAATCTCACGCACTCGCTCGACAGCACGGACCGAACCCTCAAGAAACCGCCATGTCGAAAGACGAGCCCATCGTGACTGGTGATGGCGATGTCGCCTGCCGTGAGCGCGACCTCCATACCGAGGGCATCGTGGCCCTCGGCGCTCTCGCGCACGAGCCAGACCCGATCGACAGCGGGCCCGTCGCGCGCCTGCAAGGGCCCGAAGAGGCCCTCGGCGGCGTCGCGCGGGGGCGCCGCACCTGCAGCAACGGGGGCCCCAGCGCCAGCCGCGGCCGCGGGCCCCACGGGAGCCCAGGCGCCGACACCCCCGCCGTCGGCGGCCACGCCGCCGCCCGCAGCGGCAGCACCCCCAGCGGCGTCAGGCCCCCCCCCGCAGGCAAGGGCGGGGCAGCGCCAAGGCGGAGGCGCCTCCCGACGCCAGCGAGAGGCACCCGAGCGCCAGTGTCGTCGATGTAGTGGGTCATCGCCAGCGGCTCTTCCCCAGCAGCTCGGATCTGCGACACCTGCGCCTTGGCCCAGTCCACGATCTGCTGGCTGCTGGGGTACTGATCGCGTCCGAATCGATAGAACTTGCCTCGAAGCGAAGCTGGGCAGGTGCCCATGTTGTCTAAGAGGACTATGGCCTCGCCCTCGTCGCCTTCCATTGACATGTCTTCGTCATACTTATCGTGATCAAGGGCCAACAATCCCAACGGCTAACTCGGCCCATACCATCACTGACACACGGGCCCAGGATCACTCTCTCATGGTACAAGTCCTCCCCAGGGTATCTGATCGCCACAAGGCGCCCAGGGAGCAACGCATTCAATAACGCTTGCACCGAAAGACGCTCTCCTGTGACCCCGAGGCGAGACGCTCGGAGCGGCACGACGGCCATCGCGACGGCAGCGACGACACTTGCCGAAAGAGATCAGCACGTGGACAAAGATCTGAACCCCGCCGGAGAAACCGATGCCGCCCGCGAAGAGGGCGAAGTCTCGACCGTCGCTCCCGCACTGCACCTCGCACACGCAGCGGTCAACGGCGAGCCGCTGCGCGATGCCTTCCACGATGCCAGGGTGGACCCAACTCTCGGGGCAACTTACCTCGACCCGCGGAAGGGGGCGCGGGAGCGGGCACAGGCTCCGCTGCACGGCACCAGTCGCCCTCGCCGCAGTACCAAGGCGGCCGAGTTGCGAAATGGTCGCGCAAGACGAATGTGAGGAAGGCGAGGATCGCTCCTGCCGCACCCTGCATGCGGCTGAAACTCTCGAGCCTAGACGACTACAGAGTGACACAATGAGGTGATGAGACCGACTTCCCAAACCCGCTAAAATTATTAATGTGCACGCACCCCCATGAGCACGGACCGTCCGTTGGTCGATCTCCCCCAAGGTGGCCCCAAGACGGCCCAAAGGGGTGCCCAGGAGGCGCCAAGAGGTGCCCCCAAGAGACCCCAAAGAGGCCGCAAGAGACCACCCGGGGTCACCCAAGACGCCCCAAGCGGACTCGGCGAGAAGGCCAATCTCATTGATTGGACTAAGGTTTTGGCCACAGGGGCACTAATTGAGAACCCATCTTCTTTGATCGACCTCCTCCAACATGGCCCCCGAGGCTACCAAGGGTGCCCCAAGAGGGTCCTAAGAGGGCCCCAGGAGGCCCCAAGCGGCCCCCAAGAGGCTCCCAAGAGGTGCCCCCAAGAGGCTCCCAAGAGACCCCCTAGAGGCCCCTCCAGAGGCACCCAAAACGCCCCAAGAGGCCTCGGCGAGAAGGCCAAAGTCAATGATTGTACTAAGGTGTTGGCCACTGTTTGGCCCCCTGGGGGGGACCCCAATTAAGGACCCCCCCCATCCATTGATCGATCTCCTCCAAGATGGCCTCAAGATGGCCTCCGAGGCTTCTAAGGGTGCCCCAAGATAGCCCCAAGAGGTGCCCAGGAGGCCCGCTTCAAGAGGCCCCTGGGACTGCCAAGAGACCCCCAAAACGCCCCAAGAGGACTCGAAGAAGCTCTTGAAAGAAATCCGAAGAGACTCCGACAAACATCCAAGAGGCTTCTGGTTGTTTTGTTTGCCCTCCTCCTCTTCCTCCTCCTCCTCCTCCTCATCATCATCAGCCTGTTCCTCCTTCTCCTCCTGCCTCCTTCCTCGACCCCATCCCTCTCTCCCTACTCTCCCTCCTCCTCCTCCTCCTCCTCCTCCTCCTCCTCCTCCTCCTCCTCCTCCTCCTGCTTCTCCACCGATCCCTCGTCCATCCGCCCCCTATTGGGTTACGACGTCCCACCCAGCCCTTGATTCCACCGCAAACTCCCAAGCATCCCTGATCAAGGCAACTCGTCTGGGAATTGTTTCTGGACGGGCTGGTGGGATTAGGCGAAGCGTCTAGAATCTCACGGAGAGTGGACATTTCACTGCAGGCAACAAGGTTGCCTCCAGTCAGAATGTGTGGCTTGAAAAGTGGCTGCCTTCAGTGAGCATTGCTCTGCTTTCAGTTAGCTCATTTTCCACTTCTCGTCTTCAGCGAGCATAAATCTATGCTATCAGTGTGCGCGCACATCTGTGCTTCGGCTCGGGCTGGATCGAGGACCGAGGCGCGACAGGCGAGGAGCGAGGTTCGAGGATCCGTGCATCACGAGGCAGGCTCGAGATCTGCGTCACGACGGGCGAGCACCGTGGATCCAGGCTCCAGGTTCGATGTAGTGGCCGCAGGGAGCTGTAAGACTTTCGGTGGGGGGCCCAACAGAGGTGGGAGGGGAGGAGGGGATCCTGTGTCGAGCAGGGACCGACCGTCCCGGCATTCCTACAGGCCTACTATGAGGGCGGGAGGGGGCTGTCACATCCAGGCGTCGAGGAAGGATCACGGCGACCGCTCCTGCCCCGCCCAAGGCCCCGGCACCCTCGCGGCTCCGTCCGGCTCGGACGGCACCTGCCGAAGATGGCGGGGCCGACGGCTCAGAGGCTGCTCGGGGGTTTGGGTAGCGTCGCGCTTCCCCTAACCCAGAGATCTGACCTAGTGATTCTTGTCCATACGGGGTTCCTGGAAGTCTCGACCCATTCCCCAGGACTGGTTTTTCATCCTGAGTCGTTTTTGTTGACGGTCCTGGGGACCGGCGAGGGCCCCAAGGGGCCGAAGTTTGCGAAAAACCTCCGTCTGGACATTTTTCATACGTTGGATCTCTGGGAACCTGGCTTGCCCAGAGGGCCTGCTCCATAGCTCCCGTACCACCAGGTGCCCCGTGTCAGCCGCCCTCCCATGACCCTCGCGTGCGTCTCCCGTGCACGCCCGCTCGCGCCTGGTGGTGCACGTCGCGTGGCCGGCGCGGTTGCCATCGCGTGGCCAGCGCTGCTGCCAGGAGGCCAACAGGAGCTCACTCCGACCTTGCCCGCTCGCTGCCAGCAGCCATCGTCTGGCCAGTGCTGCCGCCAGGAAGCCTGAGATCCGACATTGCCGAACATGCAACATCTCTGATAACCAGGGGCGGTCAAGAGGGGGGTGTCCAAGAGGGGGGGATGCAAATCATGACCGGCGGCATGTGCGCGGCCCAGCGGGGGCGCCAGGGACGTAATGAAACAAGAAGAGGCGCCACGAAATCTGAGGAAAAATCGTGGCCCGCGCCATGAAATCCACCCCCCCCTAGTCATCACCCCCCTCTGTTCTGCCCCCGAGATAATCACGACCAAAGCGCCAGACCCTCTCTTTATGTCTCATTTTCGAGCCGGATCGACCCGTGAGGGCCCCACGGCCCGAAACCGAGCGAAGGCGCCCGTTGCGAAACAGCCGCAAGACCTGGGTCTCAAATTGCACCGCAGGTTCTCGGGTGGGCAAGCGGGGAAGCTCGCTCCGAGCGTGTCAGGGGGCAAGCCCAGAAGGAGGCTCGCATCGGATCGGGCGTGCCCTCCTACAGGCGGATGTTGGACGGCAAATGCAAGACAGCCAACACATATCCAAAAACAAAACCCCCCAAAAGTCAAAACATCGTCCCCCGAGTGTTGTTGTTACTATATCTGAATGTTTCTCCTTCAAAGGGACAGGCCCCACTTAAGGCTCGCAGGGAGGCGCCGACCGCTCCTCGGCCCTCCCGACGGGGCGCCCCCAGGAGCCCCTCGCGTGGCGTCGGGCGCACGCTGGCGCGGCCGAGCCGCGCCACCGTCGTCGTCGTCGTCGTCGTCGTCGTCGTCGTCGTCGTCGTCGTCGTCGTCGTCGTCGTCGTCGTCGTCGTCGTCGTCGTCGTCGTCGTCTCGTCGTCCTCCTCTTTCCTCCTCCTCCTCCTTCTCCTCCTCCTCCTCCTCCTCCTCGTCCTCCTCCTCCTCCTCCTCCTCCTCCTCCTCCTCCTCCTCCTCCTCCTCCTCCTCCCTCCTCCCTCCTCCCTCCTCCTCTCCTTCCTCCTCCTCCTGTCCTCCTCCCTCCTCCCTCCTCCCTCCTCCCTCCTCGTCCTCCTCATCGTCTTCCTCCTCCTCCTCCTCCTCCTCCTCCTTCTGTTCTTCCTCCTCCTCCTTTTCTTCCTCCTCCTCCTCTTCTTCCTCCTCCTCCTCCGTCCTCCTCCTCCTCCTCCTCCTCCGCCTCCTCCTCCTCCTCCTCCTCCTCCTCCTCCTCCTCCTCCTCCTCCTCTTCCTCCTCCTCCTCCCCTCGTCCTCTCATGCTGGTGTCTATTTCTGGTATGCAGCTGTAAACTATGCCGCTGGCCAGTCTCTCCCGCAAGCGGGTGCCAGGCAGGGGAGTCGTGAACCTCGCCCTCCTTCTCGTCGATGTCGCCGTCGTCGTCCTTCTTCCCCTCCTCCGCCTCCTCCTCCTCCTCCACCTCCTCCGCGTCCACCTCCTCCGCCTCCTCCGCCTCCTCCTCCTCCTTCCCCCCCTCCTCCTCCACGTCCACGTCCTCCTCCTCCTCTTTTTCCTTTTCCTTTTCCTCCACGTCCTCCACTTCCTCCTCCTCTTCCTCCTTCTCCTGCGCACGCAACAGGCGTTCATGAGGTCCCCACGAGAGCCCAGCACGGCGAAAACCACGGGAGAGCACACATCAGGACGACCTGTTTGTCACTTCTGACTGGGGGCGCCATCCAGCCGGAGGGCCAGCGACAGGGTGCTCTCTCCGTGGGCGGCCTGGGTCCAAGCCCAGGCCGCTTCTTTCTAAATCTCCAGGGCGCCAAGGCTCGGTGAGGAGAATCCACTCGTTCCCCTGCTTGTACCTGCCCTCGGCAAGGCCTCGCAAACCCGACTGCCCCAGACAGAGGGGGCGGGCGGACACGGTTCCCTGAACAGCGTGGAAATGGATATTCCGTCCGCCCCGCACAGGGCACAGACCACCCCCCGCCACACACCCGCGAGAATGAAAGGGAAGGCACGGTGAGTGGCGTGACCCCCCCCCCGCAAAACCGCGATCGCCACATCAGCCGTACTTTCGGCCGACGGGGCCGCGGGCGGAGGAGGAATTACCTGCAGCGGTGGCCCAGCATCGCGCACTTTCTTAGCGCGCTTGGAGGCGGGGACACGCTCGCAATCAAGGTCGGCCATCGGTGGCCCACACAGTCCGACCCATCTTGTGAGTGCCGACACAACCTCGTATTGACTTCTTAACTTCGCGCGATACTGCTCGGAAGCTCTGCAGAACTCGGCGGCTTGCTTGTGGCACATCAGCCGAGTTGCTGCCGACCTGAGCTCTGGCTG